TAGTGCAGATTTACTAAGTTACTGTTGGAGTACCTATTGCTATAACCACAACAAAAAAGCAATGTTGTCGATTTTAAAACACGTCTACTAAAAATATCATAAATAGTTACTATTTTCAGTGTGTTCTTAATTGTGATAAATAGTAACTAGTTAAGATAAAACACGAAAGCCTATGAAATCCATTAATCAGATACAAAACAATAACACAACGCTTTATCCTGTTAGAATAAATAATAAATGTCGCGATAAATTGAAAACATACTGCAATCATATTTTCTATCGAGAGTAGCGTCACCATTTCAAACCTATTCTGAAACAAATAAAATATTGGTTGGATCCATCATGAAGTATAAACACAGTAATATGAACTAAAGGTTAAAGCGAGTTAATTGTATAAGAAAGCAGCAGTTACTGTTATTTGACATGTTTTCGTCATAGAGTAAAACATTTCACTTAAACATTTTACAGAATTGTGTCTAAAACTACTTCCTTTGTTCCTTTAGAACCAATTACTTTCCTTGGAAGATCACACAAACATATTTCCTTTAAAAAAAACATAACATCGAGAAATAATACTCTTTGTTTGTTTTGAAAAAAAAAATAATTATATAATTAACATTGACTGATAAAGTGCAAAGTGGTAGGTAAAAGACGAATATTTTAATTGCCGCTTTTTGTTCATTTTATACACTGAAGATACTGTTTAAGAATTATTAATTTTAATCAATAACAGTTTAGAAGCGGTTTCTAAACGGCCTTGGTCGCAAACAGTCCAACTCCGAAAATTTAAAAATTACAAGGGAACGAAAAATGATTATTTCAGTCTGGATCGCTTTAATTAAAAATCCTTTAATTTATAAGTACGAAGAAACTCTCTACCGTCTATACTCTAGCGTTTTGAAATGAGTTTTGTTAATATATACAAAATTATAGCAGGTTTTAAAAAATAGCCGGTTTGCTCAGTCTAAAACTCTCACTGCCAAACCGTCTATCTATGCGCGTAGACAGTCGTTTTGAACCGAGAATTTCGGTCTCAGCCACGCCCGTTCGTTTTGTCCACTGAACGTGATTTCGTTATGTTGATGTTTAAGATTTTAAATTATCATTAACACCTAATGATACCTAAAATACCTAAAATATAATTGTCTGTTCATACTTTTATTATTTGGTAAGTATTTGAGAGGCTAATCTGTTGTATGTTAATACTAGTCAGTTGAGAGAAGCTACACTGTTGTATAGAAAGACGGGTGTGTTGAGAGAAGCTGATTTATTGTATGGTAAGACTTGTGTGATGAGACAGGCTGGTCTGTTGTATGATAACAATTATGTGTTGATAAGGATGATCTGTTGCATGTTGAGACCGGTCAGTTGAGAGATACTGATCACTTGTCTCGTAAGACATTGTGTGTTGAACTATGCTTGGCTGTTGTACAGTAAGAGTGATCTGTTGAGAGTGGCTGGTCTTTTGAGAGAAGCTGTATTTTTAGAGAGGCTGGTCTGTTATATGTTAAGACTAGTCAGTTTAGAGAGGCTGATCTGTTGTATGGTAAGACTGGTCTGTTGAGAAAGGTTTGTCAGCTGATAGAGACTGGTACTTCAAAAATTTAAATGAACTTTTGTTTGTAAGTCAGACGAGAATATTTTTGTAAATACCGATTGTGTTGCTTGACAGCTTGAGATTGCAAGCTAAGTTGAAGCAGTCTTTTCCCTATGGTAGAATCTGTAAATACAATTTCATGTGTTTAATCACAAACGCTTTGTGCGGCTTTGATCACAGGTGTTTTGTCTATATAAGGCCTTTGATCACAGGTGGTTTGTCTATATAGGGTCTTTGATCACAGGTGGTTTGTTCAATGCAGGTGTTTGATAACAAGCGCTTTGTCCTTATATGGTAAGGATTAATTTTAAAAGTTGTGTAATTATATTTTAAAATGCGACAAGATATAATAGTATGTTAATTCATCTGTTATTTAGTTAACCATACAAGTATTACTTCTTTGACTATTCTGTTGGCAGGTTTTTTATCCTTTATATATGCTTTGCATTTTCAAGTACATCTAAATTATTTATTTGTTAAACATGTTATATGTCGCATTATTTGTGTTCCGTTCATATTTAAAATTAATCTATGAGGTCTAGTACAAGCCTTTATGTGGAGACTAAAATATAGTTCTTGACTATTTTAGTACATGTTAATTCCTATTAATGGACTTTCAGGAACATGTAAAAATGATATTAATTGTATCATAAATCTCGTACAGATGAGGCTCGTTAGCTGGGGACAGCCACTCTTCTAGGAGAGACAACTCCAAAATCAAACAACTGCTGCCTTGTAGTTTGTTCTTGGTTGGACAAAGGCTATGGAAGCAAATCCAAAAAGAAAAGCAGGATGAAATCGAAGTCAATGGCCTCAATGGCGCATAACAAGTTGACACGTATCCTTAATTGTGATGGAGGCGTGGTCGAATAGGCTACAGTTCATAGTTGATAAATTCAAAAAAGTCTCGAGTTCAAACCCTCTGGCGGATAAGACTCGATCCCTCCCAACACAAGATTAAAAACGAAGAAGAAGAAGTATCAAAAATTTAAACTAAAATAGCAGTTTATTATTTCTATTTTAAAATGTATAAATTATGACCCCCCTATGGTCAAAGCCCCGTTGTTGTCAAACCCCCTATGGTCAAAGGTCCGCTAGGTCAAACACCCGAGACCGAGACCATCGATATATATATATATATATATATATATATATATATATATATATATATATATATATATATATATATATATATATATGTATATATATATATATATATATATATATATATATATATATATATATATATATATGTATATATATATATATATATATATATATATATATATATATATATATATATATATATATATATATATATATATATATATATATATATATATATATATATATATACATATATATATATATATATATATATATATATATATATATATATATATATATATATATATATATATATGCAAAAGTCAGCAACATACCTTCAAGATTTTATCTTTAAAGCTAAAAAATTGCCACATTTATAGAAGAATTTTTTCTTTAGTACAAGGAGAAAAAAACGAGGTATTGTATATGCTTTATCTTAATCTTTACTAATTGTTAATTTAAAGTATTTAATGTTTTTTCTTTCAATTTAGAGATTTATTATGTACATTGCGTCTTTGGTTTATAAAAGAAGTAATTGTTTTAGTTATGGTAATTATCTTGGTAAGACATAATTACTTGCGTTTGTTTGAATCTCTGAGTTTATGGATTGATTTTTCTCCTTAGGTAAAAAATCTAGCCATGTAATGTTTTATTTTGACATTATCATGTATCAAGCAACCTACACAATTTAAAACGATTTCTAATTCATGAACTAATCCGAGTTTTCAATTAAAAAAAAATAAACATTAACTTAAAAGTTGATTAGGTAATCGTGTTTATATTTACAACTCTACCGACGTTGAAATATTATAATTTTAAAAAATCTCTTTGCGCGAGTTCTTCATTGTTTGTAAACTGTAAAATGATGTTATTTTAAAACTACTTCTATAGAAATTGTGTAATAGAAAACGTAAAAAACTACTACAGTTTTATCGGATTTAACTTGTATAACAGCTATTTGACACATTTTGGATTTTTTTTGTTCTGTATAAGCTCGTCACAAGCTTGCTAAACTGCTTGCGACAAATAACGCGAAGTTTTGGTTGTACCTAAGGGGAGCAGCTAAGCTAGAAGAAACGGTTATATAAAAATAACGTAAGAAAAAATTCGAATAGCAATAGCAAACAATATATATATATATATATATATATATATATATATATATATATATATATATATATATATATATATATATATATATATATATATATATATATATATATATATATATATATATATACATATATATATGCTAAAAAAATTAATTAATATGTGAATCTTTTTGTGTGTTCTCTACAAAGTTTATTAGCATAATATTTGTATAATAATTGCTGTAAGTTACTGTAACTAGACTAAACTCTTCCGAGGCCTGCCTCTTTATATTTTCCTATGCGCATTCCATGTGAAGGTCTGTCATGTTATGTTGAATACAGTCATCCTGAAAGAGGTCAATCCATTTCCCTTTTTTCTTGAAGATCTCTTATTCAGTAGTCAGTTTTTTTTTATTTTTATGCTTTGAATTCGTTTATATTTAATTTTTTCATTTCTATGTACATAGTCAACTAGTTTCAAGATGAGCACTAAAAGCTTAGATCACAACCTGTATTAATAAACAGTTACGCTAATGTAAATTACCAATAAACAATGCAATCCGTTAGCAAAGAGACAACAACTAAATACGCACAAGATATTAAATAACAAAATAAATAAACATATCTCATTGGTGTAGTCATTAAAGTTACTGATTAAAAATATTTATTTCTATATTTCTATATTTATTTCTATATATTCTATATTTGTTTTTGTTGTATTAATGTAATGTTGGGTCTTTTTTAAAAATATGTTGTACATTTTTATTTCAGAAACTAAGAATGAGTAAAACTTTCATATGAATTTCATCTAAACATTTTGTGAGTTGTTTTTTTTTAACTTTTGATAATTGTAGAAACAAAACTGCTGCTTTCTCAAAGCGAATATGGCTGAGAACATCCTTGAATCACCATTATCAAATACCAGTGTATTTAATAACATTTATAGTCCGATGTGTGACGTTTCTGATGAAGTTGTAGCTACTGTAAGGCTAGTCTTATACTGTGTCCTGATTCTAATTATTTCAGTGTTTGGAGTAGTCGGAAATGTGATGACAATTATAATTTTAACATACAATGGATTGAACGAAAAAACAAACATTATTTTAACGGGACTGGCTGTGTCTGATCTTTTTTTCTCAGTAACACAACTGGTGGCTGAGATTCCATTTATTCTGTTTTATTTTTATTTTGATGTTTTTATTTCAATGACTACCTATTATGGAGTGTTTTTAATTGGATGGAACCAGTACACAGTTTGTGTCAGTATTCACATGGTGACACTGATAGCTCTAGAGAGGGTTATAGCTGTGTGTTTTCCTTTTATGGCTTCAACGGTTCTAACGCCATTTAGAATAAAATGTATGGTTGTTACCATATTTTTTTCAGATGGAGTATTTTACATTCCAAGAGCTTTTATGTACCGAATACAGTGGACATTTTATAGCGGAACCAACAGTACCGTTGCTTTTGGGTATTCGTCTGAATTTGGTATGAGCAAAGGATTTGCTATTTACAACCAAGGATTTATTAGCATTGTTTCAATTATTATTCCAACAGTTATTATTATACTTAGCACATTGGTTATCATAATTAAATTAACAATATCATATAAAAATATGAAGAAAATGTCTTCAGCTAATGCGGGCTCTAAGAGAGTCAAGGACGTCAGATCTATTAAAATAACACTTACTATCTGTGTTTGTGTGTTATTATTTGTTCTTATTCCAACAAACACTTTAAATTCTTTTATATATGATCGAACACTATTTTCTTTTAATTGTTCAAGTGTAATATATATTTCGTTATTTCTCATCTATCAAACCAATGCATCTATAAATTTTATTATTTACGTTGCTATGAGCCCAAAATTTTATAATACATATAAAAACTTAATTTATTGGCTTATCTGTTATTGAAAATAAATCAATTGTTTACATTATTTTTAAGTAGTTTTTATATAGATATCAAGTTAAACTCGAAAAAGTATTCCTAAAATGAAATTCATTTAACGTCGTAATAAATTGACTTGCCTGTATTATAGTTTTGTTTTAAATTTAAAAAAAATAATCGTATCTTGTAAGTGAACATGTTATATGTATAACTTGTTTAAAATGCACAGATTTGTTATTTATTGTTATCATTAAGAGGGGCAGTTTGTGTTGTTAAAACTAGGGAAATGACCTCTAGTAACATCTTTTAACAATGCAGAACTTTTAAAATTTATTTGTGTTATTTTCTCATTGAAACTATTTTTTTTCTTAGTTGTGTGCAACAAAATTAATCTGTTTGATATGACTTTAGTAATTAGTTGTAGAAAAATCAGTCCCAAACTAGAAACAAAAAAAAATAGACTATCATTAAATATGTTTGAATCAAGCTTTAACTGTCTCTCTAATTTTGAAAGTTATGCAATGATAAATTAATATTTTGGTACAAAAAGGTGATTCAATAGCAAAATACTTTTATCGAAATTGGTATTAACAAAATAAACCTTTTTTTCACAATTATTTCTCACTTTTATAATTAATGTATAAAAAGGTGTAACTGTTAAAGTATCATTATTTATCTCTTATTTTATTTCTATAGAATTTCAATTTTTTATGTTTTCCGAATAAAATTAAATTGTTAATAGTATGATGAGTTGTAATATTACTCGGCTATTAAAATAATATCTTTTTTCTACCTTTTTTTTTAATTTTATATTATAAATTGGATGTGATATTTTAAAAAATTCAATATCTTAGTATTTTCTTTTTTTTAAGTTTTCATGTACACTCTGTTATTAAAAAATAGTAGTATATTCGAAAAATGGTGATTTTTATAGCTATGTTCTACTCTATGTTCGTTTTTTTTTTTTTGATATTAGGTAATTGGTTGTAATATTTTAAAATAATCAGTAAAATAACACTGTATTATCGTAGCTTAGTTTTCATGTGCACTATGTAGGAAATTTTGTAGTATATTAATAAAATAGTGATTGACATACATGGTTTTTTAAAGAAAAGCATGTTCATGAAAAAATAAACAAATCCTAGCTTGTACTAAACCATTATGTTCATTATTTTGTGAAAAGATAATGATGGCAAAAATTAAATTAAATAGTTTATTTTCTAAAAAGATTTATATATATATATATATATATATATATATATATATATATATATATATATATATATATATATATATATATATATATAGTAGTATATTAATAAAATAGTGATTGACATACCTGTTTTTTTTTAAGAAAAGCATGTTCATGAAAAAATAAACAAATCCTAGCTTGTACTAAACCATTATGTTCATTATTTTGTGAAAAGATAATGATGGCAAAAATTAAATTAAATAGTTTATTTTCTAAAAAGATTTACATATATATATATATATATATATATATATATATATATATATATATATATATATATATATATATATATATATATATATAGTATATTAATAAAATAGTGATTGACATACCTGTTTTTTTTTAAGAAAAGCATGTTCATGAAAAATAAACAAATCCTAGCTTGTACTAAACCATTATGTTCATTATTTTGTGAACAGATAATGATGGCAAAAATTAAATTAAATAGTTTATTTTCTAAAAAGATTTATATATATATATATATATATATATATATATATATATATATATATATATATATAGTAGTATATTAATAAAATAGTGATTGACATACCTGTTTTTTTTAAGAAAAGCATGTTCATGAAAAATAAACAAATCCTAGCTTGTACTAAACCATTATGTTCATTATTTTGTGAACAGATAATGATGGCAAAAATTAAACTAAATAGTTTATTTTCTAAAAAGATTTATATATATATATATATATATATATATATATATATATATATATATATATATATATATATATATATATATATATATATATATATGTATATATATATATATATATGAAAATGTTTCTTATTTCTTTTTTTTTAATTAATTTAATTACGTACACATAAACAACCTCTTATATGTTGTTGCAGATTTACGGCTTAGTAGGGCGTAAATGATAAAGTTAATAGGAGCGTTTATTTGGTAGATCAAATAAACACAAATTCGAAGGAACAGCGAGCAGTTAATGGAAAAAAAGATTGAATTTCAGAATCGTAACCGTAAAAGTTACTTGGAAATAAGACTAATACTGTAACCAACAAGCTAATAGCGAGTGTTATTGTTACAGATCTGATGTCTTCGACTCGCTTATACACTGCAACAGATGAAGAAAATGTCCTTATGTTTTTGTATGAAATGTTGAGTTTTACTATTATCATGATAGAACATATTATTATAGTAATAGTGGGGAAAATTATAGCTATTATAGCAATGAAATATTGGTTGTAAATTGAAAAACTGTTGCTCATAACGAACTCTGTAGGATAATAAAATGCCGCAGTGCTGTAAGTCATGGTATTAAATGACCACGTCATATAGAACATAAAAGCTCGTGGAATATAAATAATTCCGTCAGACAGAAAAATGGCTATAACACAACACTTTATCCTGTAAGGATTGAGAACCGATGAGGTTAGGAATGGAAAACATACAGCAATCATCATTTCTATAGCAATTAGTGTCACCATATGGATACTTAAGCATACAGCATATTGGTTCCAGCCCAGTAAATAAACTGTGTAGTAAGCACTAAGGTTAAGTGCAGCTTCTACATTAACGTATGAAGTAATTGTTGGCACTAGGCTCTATATGTTAACCAAGGAGTAGAACATGTCAGACACAGCCAACCCTGTCAAAATAATGTTCGTTGAACATTATTTTCAAGATGTTTCAAAATACTCCAAAAACAGTCAAACATGGACTTAAAATGCAGTTAATGATAATTTTTTCCTAAAATTACGACATCGTAAGGTAAATCATAGGCTAGAGCAATTATATCTTTTGTCAAACTTTGATTATCAGCCATATTGCAGATATGTATTATTCAAAACAGATTCCAAGATATCCTGAAAATAATAAAGCAATATGTATATAACTTTGACTACGTATAATTACAATAAGTAAATCGATCTTTGTAGGCCTATATGTTTAATACAAAACAAAACAAATCATTAATATCTAGTTTATAGGGATATTTTTTCTGAAATATTTAGTCATAGAAACTTGCATGAGTAATATAGGTAACAGCATCAATATATATATATATATGTACACATAAAACTACTTTTAAAAAAGCTTTTCGATACATATCATTTACTTTACAATTATTAACCTTGTTATTATCATATAGATGACTGTGGTTACTACTGTTTTGCACGCGAATGAATAAAAAAATCCTAACTAGAAATGAAATCCTTCTTAAATACATTTTCTATAATATATTATAATTTAATAAGATGGGGATGATCTTTAATATTGATTTGTAAATATAAGTATAATGACAACCATTCTGCAAAAACCATGCATTAAAACTACTTTCTCTATTTATCTGAGTTCATTTTCATTGAATTTCATTTAACCTTTTCGTTAACACGTATAGACAAAAGTTTGCAGCAAAGCAGTGCCTGTCGCAATCAATTAAAACTTAATTCCGTCCAAATCATGTCGCAAAGCAGACTCGTAGCCTTTGCAACAACTTTAATAGAATGTGATTACGCTTCGACTCTGAATTGAAAGAATAAGTAGAAACTTTTGCAAAGAAGAACGCACCGAAAAATTCCATTTTAATTTTGTAATCTACTTGTAAAATGTATGTAATTGATTATAAGTAAACTAGCTGCATACCCGTGGTCCGCCACAGTGAATCTTTTTTAAATGTACAGAACAAAATTAAACACGAATCCTTATACCCGTGCTTCGCTACGGTGTGGATATGGATATTACTTCTAGTTTACCGCAATGTACGCAGATGGGGGTACCTGCATTTGGGCGGATATTCTTTAACGCACCGCGCTGCGTGCGGGTGTCGGTAGCACTTTGGTGTGAATATGGAGAAAAAATGGTGTAATTCTCTTTCTCCACCCAGACATCTCTCCTTCTCTAATCCGCTTCGTCATCTAAACCGCCGCCAAACAATACGTTTTTCCATGCGTCCGCTCCCAGGGAGAGTCTTCCACATTGTTTTTAAAATCTATAGCGATGACACGAGGACTGACGCACTACCACCAGCCTTATATATAATACTAGCTGCATACCGGTGCCACGGTAATTCCTTTTTAACTGTACCAACTTGGGAACAGAACAGAACAAAATTAATACACCACAAACACAACACAAACAAAACACAAAAGCAACACAAACACAACAGAAACATAACACAAACACAAAACAAACACAATATAGCACAAACTTAACACAAACAGAAAAGAAAACACAACACAACACAATAAAAAGACAACACAAACACAAATAAAAACACACAAACACAAAAAACACAAATGCAACACACAAACACAAAAGACAACACACATAAATTTGCATTCACATTTTGCTAATTATATTATTGCAACACTAATTTTTTTTCTAGTAGGTCCACAGGATTTGCATTCACATTTTGCTAATCATATTATTGAAACAATAATTCCTTCTAGGAGGTCCGTAGATTTTGTATCACATTTTTTTAATTAGCGTGACTTGAATTTATTATTTAATTACCTCCTTTGGAAAATTACAAAACAGTTTAATTAATTCGTTTTTTCGACCCTAATATTATTAAATTGTATCCACTTTTTCATGGAATCTAAACGAAAATGATATTTGACATTGATCCGTTTAATATGTATTAGCAATGTGTATGTATTTAATATTTTCTTTACGTTATGCAAAAGAGTAAAACTGTAGTCATCAACCCTTATTGGAGAGAAGCTACAAAATTGAGCAACCCTTGTATTGCAGATGTTCTCTAGTGAACAAACTCTCAGGAATTACATCCAGAAAGAA